CACACACACACACACACACACACACACACACACACGCGCTCACACGCACACACACATACACACACACACACACACACACACACACACACACACACACACACACACACACACACACACACACCACACTTGAGGTTGGAGAAGACGACACAGACATAAATGTAGCCACCTGTGAGCACGAGTCAGGCGTCATACGCCAGCAGCTGCAACAAAAACAGTCCCTTCACTTAGTTCATTTATTATGCACCCCATACCCATCTTGTGGGCGGTAGTGGAAAGGGTTACAGAGGCACATAACTGTTGCGTCATCCGTATAAATTTTGTGTGTATAAAAAGGCATTAAAACTCTTAAATCATAAGTAATTAAACTGCTAAACCGTAGCTAGTCTAACAATATGCCTAAAGCCTAATTCTAGCACTTAATTAGACCTAACTTAGGCCTATATATTTCACATAGCTTTTTATAAAGTAAATCATATCGTATATTGTGTTCCGCCTAGTTGCCTCGCCTCTAAAGGACTACTCTGCTGTGATGGAGACGCCCGCCAAACACACGACGAAACTACGACGTTGCTATAACGTTAGAACACGTTTTAACACCTAACAAGTTGTAACAACCAATATAGCAAGTTGTAACGACGTTCTAATACTTCATAAAAACGTTATAACAAGATGTTACAACTATATTACAAGTTGTAACAAGGGATTTTTAGAGACCGTTACGTTGTGTTCGCAGGCCGGAACCCGGTACCTCTGAGCGAGAATCACGTAGCATACGCTCCAGTCTGAGGGGTCAGTACAATTTGGGTACAAATGTGTTGTCCTGTTGCAGAGGTATACAAGTGACGAGAGAGACATTGTGTATCATAGGAAGGCAGTCAATACCTTTAATGTCTGCTCGAGGCTTTTGCGAGCACGTTAGGTACTCACCTAGTTGTTCTTGCGGGGGGTTGAACTCTGGCTCTTTGGTCCCGCCTCTCAACTGTCAATCAACTGATGTACAGATTCCTGAGCCTACTGGGCTCTATCATAGTTACATTTGAAACTGTATATGGAGTCAGCTTCCACCACATCACTGTCTAATGCATTCCACTTGACGAAGTGGAATGTCAAGTGGAATTCCACCTAACACCTAACTTTGTTAGGTGGAATTCCACATTCCACCTAACAAAGTGGATATTAATGGGGTATTAAAAGTATCAGTACAAGACAGTACACGAAACGATGGGTATTACTTAGATAAGTTAAGATTTAGGAAAGACTTGTGTAAATACTGGTTCGGTAACCGGGTTGTTGATTTGTGGAACCAATTACCGCGTAACGTGGCGGTGGTGGGGGTCCCTCGATTGTTTCAAACGTAGGTTGGACATATATATGAGTGCGATTGGGTGGTTATAAATAGGAACTGCCTCGTATGGGTCAATAGGCCTTCAGCAGTTACTTTTTTTCTTATGTTCACTTGTTAACTACTCTGACACTGAAAAAGTTCTTTCTAACGTCCCTGTAGCTCATGTGGGTATTCAGTCTCCACCTGTAGTCCGTCCTCTCCAGCGTTCCCAACGTCACTAAACTCTTGTACTAAATTGCCCGAACCTAACCTAACCCAGCACCCACGAACAGAGAACGGGCCATCACGTCAATTTTGCGATCCGATTGCGAGCTCGGCCCATCATACCCGAAGCTCGGCCCATCATACCCGTAGCTCGGCCCATCATACCCGTAGCTCGGCCCATCATACCTGTAGTTCGGCCCATCATACACGAAGCTCGGTCCATCATACCCGTAGCTCGGTCCATCATACCCGAAGCTCGGCCTATCATACCTTGTAGTTCGGCCCATCATACCTTGTAGTTCGGCCCATCATACCCGTAGCTCGGCCCATCATACCTGAGGCTCGGCCCATCATACCGTAGCTCGGCCAGTCATACCCGAAGCTCGGCCCATCATACCCGTAGCTCGGTCCATCATACCCGAAGCTCGGTCCATCATACCCCGTAGCTCGGCCCATCATACCCGTAGCTCGGCCCATCATACCCGAAGCTCGGTCCATCATACCCGTAGCTCGGCCCATCATACCCGTAGCTCGGTCCTTCATACCCGCAGCTCGGCCCATCATACCCATGGCTCGCCCCACTTCTAATGTCCTGTCAACTCTTGTAATCATTTTGTCCCGTACCTGAACCAACTTATGCCCCGTACCCTCATCTACTACTAATCTGTCACTTCACTTGATAATGATCACTCATCTTCACTAGGTAAGACCCCTCTCATCTCACGTGATTATACCTCCGTCATCTCACATGTTCCTTATATGCCTTGGCTCCACATGCTTTCTCTGCGCGGCTGTTCACAAATGTTCAGAATTCTTGAAAGTCGTCGTCCCTTCACTTTCTAGTGTGTGGTTTGGTCAATATATTTCAGCCACGTTATTGTGACTCCTCGTCTGCGTTCAGTATTCTTCTTATTTAGTCTTTTTGTGCTTGTTCTATTCTGCAAACCCTATCATAAATATTCCATATTGTTCCTTCGCTCTCTTTGCTTAATATGTAAGTTGCAGACGATGAGTCACAGTAATGTGGCTGAAGATATGATGACCAAATAAAATACCAGAAGATGAAACGACGACAACGTTTCGGTCCATCCTGGACCACTATCACAATCTACTTGATAATGGTCCATGACGGACCGAAACGTCGTCGTCCGATCTTCTGGTGTGTGGTCTGGTCATCATGAGTATAAGTTTCCTCTTAAAACCTTGGAAAAGGGTGAAAAAGGGTGTATAGTCTTCACTTTATTGAGGGGTTCCGCTCCACACTGTATCGCTTAAGGTTTAATTGGATCATTCCTGGATGTTTACCGATATGTCAGGTGTCACTATCAGAATCTTAGTATCTTACAGAGCTTTTAAATATTTGAATATAATACTAAAGGTAGGTAAGTTAAGGTAATTATCAAGGAGAAAGCGCAACTCTAGTTCGACTATGTATCACTTGGAAAGAATATGAGGAGAAAAATTTGGGATTGGTCGGGGGAAGGAATGGTGCTCAACTATTTGAACCATCGGGGATCAAACAGCGACCTGCAAGATACGATTTTGTCGCTGTACCGACCAGTCCAAGTGGTTAGATAATCCTGTTACTAGGTAGTTAATTATGATCAATGTAAGTTCAAAAATAGAATGAGATTTACTTATTACTTGTATATAAACAAGTAAATCGTTACTTGTATATAAAAAACTTATTACTCATAAGAATGCCTGTGTGGGACACGAGATAACCAAACTACAACAAAAGCAAATCTTTATGATTTTCAATGATAAAAGATGCAGTAAAAAATGCACATTGCAGTTGCAATAAAGAGGAATAACTGATATGCAAGAGTATTGTAAGGTTATTATATGTATTTTTCCTCTCCACACCTAACATTACAGTATAATTAAAATTCATCCTAGAAGCATTTGCGATGGACGATGCCTGGTCCGGACTCGTCGTACTCCTCCTTGGTGATCCACATGGACTGGAAGGTGGACAGAGAGGCCAAGATGGAACCACCGATCCAGACGGAGTACTTACGCTCGGGAGGAGCAATGATCTTGATCTTGATAGTGGAGGGAGCCAGAGCTGTGATTTCCTTCTGCATGCGGTCAGCAATACCAGGGTACATGGTGGTACCACCAGACAAAACATTGTTGGCGAACAGGTCCTTCCTGATATCAATGTCGCACCTCATGATGGAATTGAAGACTGTCTCATGGATACCAACAGATTCCATACCCAGGAAGGAAGGCTGGAACAAGGACTCTGGGCAGCGGAAACGTTCGTTACCGATGGTGATGACCTGACCATCAGGAAGTTCGTAGGACTTCTCAAGGGATGAAGAAGCTGCAGCAACGCTCATCTCATTCTCAAAGTCGAGGGCGACATAGCAAAGTTTCTCCTTGATGTCACGAACAATTTCTCGCTCAGCCGTGGTGGTGAAGGAATAACCACGCTCTGTCATGATCTTTGTAAGATAGGCAGTCAAGTCACGGCCAGCCAGGTCGAGACGAAGGATAGCGTGGGGAAGACAGTAACCTTCGTAGATGGGGACGGTGTGGGTGACACCATCACCAGTATCGAGCACGATACCTGTGGTACGACCAGAGGCGTACAGGGACAGCACGGCCTGGATGGCCACGTACATGGCGGGGGTGTTGAAGGTCTCGAACATGATCTGTGTCATCTTCTCACGGTTGGCCTTGGGGT